AGTAACCCACGTTTTAAAATTAATAGATTTAAGAATGAATAAATCATGATATTAACATTTTTCTTTAAAATAATATGTTACGATTATGCTATAGAAATTCGAAAAATAATGTTTCCTGTGATTCATGATAGCAATTGAGTCATTAAAGTAGTTTGATAAGAAACAAACAAATTTGGAGCAAAACTATGCGAAGATTTACAATATTGTGTTTTGTTCTTCTATGAGATTTCTATAGAGGAGATTAGAAGTTTTTAAACTATATTATTGATAAGAAGAGTATCATTATTTGAACCAAATTGTTTATGCAGTGAATAGGTGTTCTGGATATTAGATATAAATAAAATAAAAAATAGTTTCAAGAACATCATTGAAAAGAGAAGAAATTAATTTTTTGATTCAACTTTGTCCTCGTACGAATTATCTTCAAGTAAATTCTATTACTAATATTGATGTTGAATTATTTGTACGAGAAACTGCTATTAGTTGTTCTTGTATAAACGTTTTAAATAAAGCACATGTTAAAATTCTTTTATTTTTTTGTACCTGAGCTTGTTATGAATAGGATTTTTTTATTCTAATTCAACTCGATGATAATGGAAGAGATTCATTTTTGTACTCATCATCATATTGATCTTGTTTCGAAAGAAATGTTTGTCTAGTTCCACATATCCCTCATAAAAACAAGAATGATGTACAAATAATTGTACATTTTTTAATATAAAAGTAACTGATACCGATGAGGAATTGCTTAAAGAAAGAAAATTGTATTTGTTCAAAGGCGTTATATGTAACCCTAAATGATCGATACGCTTCATTGCCTTTTATGACTTATTCGTTAATGTTGACCTTGAGCTTAAGAATGTGCGCTTCTCTTCCTCTTCTCTTATATGATTGTGTCATTAAGTTCACGGTATGTATCAAATTGGCCGAAAGGAAAAATAGCAAACGAAAGAATAGCGAAAAAAATAGCGAAAACAGAAATGTCGATCATATAAAAACAGCGAAAATATACAGTTGACTAAAAACATCGAAAATGTTCCAGGCATCGCTAAGTCACACTATGTCTTTCAGTTCTGTACTAGTATCTACTTGAAGACGCGGATCTGGATCGGTGGCTCGTAGTTTCAAGAATATCGACATCTTATTGCCACGTCTCACACCGACATGCTGTCCCCTCCTAACTGACAACATAGATCCGCAAGCCTATGTTTTGTTGGTATCTACACACAGGAATGTTCTGAACTGGAGTTGATTTCCGCCCTAAGTTCTATATTTTCGTTTTTTTCCAGAATATCTCCAACGACAATCGTTCGATCAGACCCCTGAGTGATTAAACCCACCTTGCTCCTAATCTTGATAACCTGGGAATACCCTGCTTAGGCATCTATTACATTTTTTATATTGTATGTAGGAAAATATCTTCATCCCGGTAGCCGACAAGATTAAAATAAACTTTTTTGACATTCTAATATGATCGGTGTTCTATTTTCTTACTATAAATTTTTCGACATTTTTTATATTCGCTATTTTATTCTTCGCCATTCTTTTCTCGACATTTTTTCTTTCGCTATTTTTTTTTTCGCTATTCTTCCGTTCGCTATTTTTTCCTTCGGTCAATTTAATGCCATTCAATTTAACATTGTTCTTCATCAATCGATATTCCTTTCTATTCTACTCTTTCTTCTCGGCTCTACTCCGTCATCGATACATTTCATTAATTAATCACGCATCCTATACTCTTCTATTGTTATATTCTCAATGTATGTTCTTTCTTTGATGAACACAGGCATATGTATATACAATTCTTTCTTCCTTGTCTGATGACTGACATGTTCTCTCTAGGAGAGAACACATAAAGGTGAAGTGTTATAACCTCAATTAAAGGGATGAAGTAGCTTAATAAACATTATTATTCAAAGTAGCGAGAACGTCACTGTCTCAGTTCGTCACATTATTCAATTATGTATTTGTTCAATAATAAGTTTACATTCATTAGTGAATCAAAGAGTAAGATAACAGTTTTGTCAATCATTTATTCTTTTTTTCTTGACAATCTCAGTCGACTTAAACCTTTTGAACGATCCCATCGAAATATTACTGTATATAGCACAGACCACATTACATCGAGTAACCGAATTTGTGTACTCTTGTAGTTTAATCATGGCGTTGTCATGTTGTCGTTACTATTTTGTGTTCTTTCGTCTGTTATATACATGCGAAAAGGAAGTTTCTTTGTCTTGAAGGACATTTGTGATAACAGAACGACAAGTATCTCATATTTTTTCCAGTATTAATCAGATATTATCGCAGCGTTAGTTAAATACAAATGCATCGAATCGTTCTGTTTTTCAAGGAGAATACTTTAAATATATGTTTCTGCATACTTCATCCATTTTTTCCAGATCTTCTTCAATTTTTAAATAGACCTATGAGTCAAATTAAAAGATCATTAAGCTTTAATCAATCATCGAACAAAAAAACAAAGAAATTGCAAAGTAAGCTATTGATATAATTCATATAAATTTGTTTTTATTCATACTTGATTAGATAAACCTAATCGATTAATAATTTCTATCGAAAATTTGTCCGATGAATTGTTTTATGAAATATTTGAGTATCTTGATGGTGGTGAAATTCATCAAGCATTTTCAAATCTTAATCATCGTTTTCAACAACTTCTCAATTCTTCATCACTTCTACTTAAACTTCAATTGCAATATACACCAGCAGGAAAAACATTGATGAATAACTATCAACCAATCGGTGTCAACAGACATCAAATATTTTCCATTTATTCATGGAAGCCATCAATAGGCAGTTATTTTTTCTCGTCATTTACCGCTGGTTTGTTTCTTGATCGTCTCGAGTCTCTTGTTCTTGAAACTGTTGACCCAAGTGTACTCATATCAATTCTTGACAAATTAAAATTTCTTCCTCGTCTTTTCTCGTTAACTATCACGCATTCAAATGATCTAATAGATCTAACTGATATTTATCGAATCATTCTCTCTTTACCAGTATTAAAATATTACAAATTCATGACAAACAAACCATATTTATCCGTTTTATTATCAATGGCTACCAATGAACAATTCAATACTATTGAACATCTTGTTATTGATCATCATTGTACTTTTGAAGAACTTTCTATGATAACATCCTATACACCTGAACTTCGACGTTTGTGTTTTATGAATGAAGTGGAGTCTGATGATTTAAAAACTGAAATTATTTTACCAATCAAATTATCAAATTTGACACATCTTTCTATACGGGATTATTATAAAAAATTTGATGAATTTGAAATGTTTATTAGTAAATTACACTCAAAATTAAAAGTTTTATCTTTTACAACTCAATCCCTCAATATCGCTTATCTTGATTCTTATCGATGGGAAGAATTTATTTTAAAATATTTACCTCAATTAGAAAAATTTTGTTTACAATATTGTGAACGAATTGATAATAAATATAAATATCCAATATACTCTGGAGGACCAAATCAATTCTTTTCATCATTTTGGATCGAACGACAATGGATAATGGAAGCTGAAATTGCTGGTGAATATATTACGCATGTAGTTCGTCCATACAGGTACAATTAGAAGAGCCTTTTTTATTGAATAAATTATCATATCTTTTTAGAAAAAGATGGCATGAATACATTCCAGATAAGATGATCTATTCTTCTGCTGGATTTTGTAAATCTACTCAATTGACTCTCACATATATTTCTTCTGATGCACATGATGAACTAATTAATATACATTGTAGACGTGTTTTAAGTGCAGCACAAATTTACCATTTGGAAATTTCTGACGAAAAGACCTTTATTGGTACGTTAATCCAAATTATCAAATTATTACCGGAGCTTGATTCATTAAAAATTCGTTCTTTATCATTTGATCAACCAAAAAGTTTATCTGCTGAAGAACTCGTTATTCTTTGTTCGATAGCAAATACATGTAAAATTACAAAAGTTTATCTCGAGAAGATGGTTGGAATTGGAGAAGTTTATTTACTTATGACACTTTGTCCTTATATGTTATATCTCAAAGTGGGTTTTATCAATAATATAAATGTTGAATTATTTTTACGAAATATTTTGGAAAAAATTAATCATGAGCGTAATAATTATCTTCGTTCATTGTGCTTTCATATTCCAACAGCAGAAGATAAAATGATTAAAAAATTAGAAAAAATGATTAATATTAAGAAACTACTATTGGATTTTATAATTGAACGTGTACTTGATAATATTTATTTGAAATGGACGTGATGTTTATTAAATATTACGTTTATTTTTGTTTGAAACTGTTTGCTAAATAAAATCAAAACGAACATTTTATATCCGAACATCGTGAAACAAATGAATTAAAACCAGAAGTTTCACTTGAAAAATACTTTTTAAGTTCGAAATATCAGCTTTTGAAGAAATTGTATTTATATCTTCATTTGAATAAAAGCCTTGTCTAGCTTGAAATGAAATTTTTCGAAGATGAGTTTGAATAAATATTTGAACGTTGAAAGAAAAAGTTTCAGCTATTATTCAAATTAGTTTTAACGATGCGTCTTTCATGCAATCTTAGTTTTGAAACAGATTAAAAAACAGAAAAGATTACCACTTGAAAAAAGGCATTTGCCAA